GCTCCCTCTCTGCTATACGTGCTTCTGGAGCCCTCGAACCCCCTACGTAAGTTATACCAGTGTTTAGATTAACTTTAAAATATTGCATTAATGGCTTAAGGATCAATAATAGCATTAATATGTCGAGAAATAGTTAAATTAAGAAATACGCATCATAAATAATATTCACTTTATTTTGCAAATAATCTTTGAATATGCTAGTTTTTGTGTATAGATATAGGCCGTTAAAGCGCGGCGAAGACCGCGAGAAGCTGAAAGAACGACTCGCAGATTTCATGACTTACGGGGACTTGGGTCAGCGCCCGCCAAAGCCAGCTCGTCCCAGCAAAATCTTGCCCAAGTTGCCTACAAATAAAGAGAGATGGAATGATTGTAAGTCATTTAATCATCTATAGCCAAAATCCCTAAAACATCGTTGAATTTTAAAAAATCTTTGTATCACTGTTTATTGCTGAAGCTTCGATAAGTATTTCCTGCAATCAAACGGACATCAGTCCAGATTTTTGCTCCTATATTAATTAACACCAAACCGATTGCTCATATTACCATCTGAATAACATTTTCAAATATTCCTTACGATGTACCTACAGTGGTAACACAAATCCGCGAGCGAGCCGACTGGCTGGCAGATATGGAGATGTTGGGTGAAGCAGACCCCCATCGCGAGGTGATACAGGACCAGATAGCGATGAGGATCCGAGCGCTGGACGAGTTGGGTATTGACAGCGAATGCTCCTCGGCAAGGTCGAGGCGGTCGGGGTTCAGCGTGCTTGACACCGGCAGACGAAGTGTTAAAAGCAAGGATAGTGATAATACAGGTAGAAATGTGGTCATAGTTTTTATAACTGATCATATATACTATACTAATATTATGAAGAGGAAAGATTTGTTTTTTGGTATGTAATAAAATAATTCAAAAACTACTGGGCCGATTTACAAAATTCTTTTACCATTATAGAGCTACGTTTTCAGTAACATAAGTTATATCATTATTTTTAAATATCGAGCGGACGAAGTCGCTAGCAGTAGCTAGTTTTTGCATAAAATTAAGGACACATGGTGTAAGATTTCTTATATAATCTACTAGCTGTTGCTCGCGACTTCGCCCGCGTGAATTTGAAAAATAGCCTATGTTACTCACAGGTAAATTACCTTACTAACTGTGATTTTTTTTAATACGGCCTAGTAGTGTTTGAATTATTTCAATACATACAAAAATACAAATCTTTTCTCAGATTCCTCAGGCGTCAGACATAACCTAATTCTTCGCCTGTCGATATGCCTTGTGCATGAGCTTGTCATCATACTTATTGACATTTTCAGAACGAACAACGTCATCTAAAGAAAAAGTCGCGAAGAAAGGAGCAACTAAAAATAATAAAGAAACCGAAGAGAATGTTGATGCTTATAGCCGAATGTCGCCATTAGAGTACACGCCACGACGAAGAGTGTGATTTATATGTAGATGATGTTTTTTCTTTTTCATTAAAATTAGATTAGTATCTTTTCGACCAGGAACATTAAAAACGTTAAATTTTGACATATTTGTTTAATATAAACATTTATTTTGTTACTGTGTACATTATTATTTGGTATAAATATTACTTAGATTAACTTTATAGATTAAAAAAATAATAATTAATTATCATTTATAATTATAGTGACATCTGTATCATAAACAGTCCTAATGCATGTAAAGTGAGCTCGGAGGTTTGGAAATCTGAATCCAAAAGACATAACATATATATGTAATAACATCACTGGATATTGATAATAAATTAAAGAAATTTTTCTTAGTGTCAATCACTATCAATTACAAGTACTTTTGATTTTTTTGCTTTTGGTTCTTTAATTGGTGATGATGTTTTGCATTTCATTGGTTTCTTTTCTTTCAACTCATCATTACAAGATACTTCTGATTTAACATCTCTAGGTGCTGGTCTATCCACTTCAAACTCTGTATACTTTCTGATTGGCATTTTCAATGAAAAATCAACATCATTCACAGATTCCATATTTGGGCCTTTTTTAATATAAGATATTGTTGTGTAAGCTGTAAAATGAAAATCTTCAACGAGATATCCTTGAGTCAATAAAAACGCAATTACATCTTCTCCTATGTTACGCGAGAAATTAGGTTCTATACCATTATGTCTTAAATTGACTGGACCTGTCAAAAACCAAGCACTGAGCAACTTTTGTGCTGTAAGTTTTGTGTCATTATTATCAGCATTGTCCAATATATAAGAGAGTGTCTCACAGTGGTCTTCAAGATTTATTTCTCTCGAACTAATACAAGGATTAACGCAAACATCACACATTTTGTTACAATCTGCATGTCCCCAATCTTCTTCAAAATGCTCTGCAATAAGCTGTCTTCTACAATGCTTTCCATTAAGACAGTATTTAATCATGCCATATAAATTATCAAGATTGCCCACAGAGGAGAATACCATTGTACTCAATTTAAAAATGTCCTGCATCCTATATAATGTCACACATTCTGCTCTGTTACCATCTCTCCCAGCTCTACCACTTTCTTGGTAATAATTCTCCATAGATTTACTTATTGTATGATGTATTATAAACCTTACATCAGGTTTGTCAATACCCATTCCAAAAGCAACTGTTGCAACAATAGCTTGATAGTAATTCTCATGCCACTTGCTGTGAACTTTACTTCTACTATCTGCTTCCATGTTAGCATGATAACAACCTACTTTTAACCCCCTTTTTCTCAATTCTTCTGCCAAGTCTTCAGAATCTTTAATACTGTGTGTGTAAATAATTCCACTCTCCCCTTTATACCTATATTTTAGTAGTTTCTCTAAAATTGTAACACATTCCTCTTGGGATGTAGGCTTTTCTAATATTTTGTAAAATAAATTAGGTCTGTTAAAGGTAGATTTGATAACTAAACATCCTTGTATATTTAGTATTTTTTGTACATCGTTTAATACATGTGCAGTTGCTGTGGCAGTCAAACCTAGAATAGGGGTATTAGGAAACATGTTGGATAGTATACCTAGAAATTTATAATCGGGTCGAAAATCATGTCCCCATTGTGAACAACAATGTACCTCATCAATAGCTATTCTTTGCAGTCTACCATCTATGTAACACTTTTGCAAATTAGACATGAACCTCTTACTCTTTGCAAGTCGCTCAGGTGTTACATAGACTAATTTTACAGGTGTATTTTTATCTTTAAGTAAATTTAAAACTGCTGCAGTCTCTTCCTTTGAGCTAGTGCTTGTCATAAGTTTTGCAGGTATTTTTCTAACAGTCAATGACCTTACTTGATCTTCCATTAAAGAAATAAGAGGTGAAATAACAATTGTTATACCAGGTTGTATCAGAGCTGGCAATTGGTAACATAAACTTTTACCAGCCCCTGTCGGCATTACGACTAAAGCATGTTGTCGGGATAACGTTGAATTGATAGCACTCAACTGCTTAGGTCTAAATGAATCGAGTTTAAAACTATCCCGAAGAACTCGATTAACATCTTCAGACCATTCGTACGTAGTTCCAGCCCAATCGACACTAGCTAATGATTCAGATTTAATCTTGTTTATAGTCTTCTTTAATAATGATTTTTTCTCTTGCAACTCACGCTGCCGGGTTTTCCATTTAGCTATTTCACTATCAACTTTAGTAAGCTCTTTTTCGACATTTTTTATTTCTCGTTCTATTTCTTTTACAGTTTTCATATTACTATTTTACAGTTTGCAGATACTGCGAAAACTAACCTAATATTTCATATTTTTTTCTTTATCTATACTATAACAATTTGAAAACCAAAAAACGTTTATACATAAAAATACTTTCTTTCTCGTAAATCGTTTTAACTTTAAATACTTATTTTAATTTGTACGACTTAACTTCTGACAGTGACAATGACAGATAAATGTTTGATAGACAAGGTTTATGACATGACTTCAGATTAAAAACACGAAATGCAAAGACTGCCACATTTAAAGAAATTAGGTATGAAAGTAGGGAAAAGCAAATGATTTTCTATTATTTTAATCGGGAACAAAACTCCGTACGACTCTGAAATCCATCCTTATTTTTAGATCCCTTTCAGTAATCAGTATTATGGATTAAAGCAAGATGAAATCCAGGCGGTGATTGACAATATTATTGACCTACTTCTTTCGCTAACAACGGATGTTTCTTATTTGCTTATTGAGCAAGTTAGTGATAGATTAGCTATTTGTCACGTACGGTACATGGTTTCAGTGAAAGTAAAGAAACACAAAAATGCGAGTTTTTTCTTTTGTCTTGATTTTGTACGTAGTGGTATTTATCTATTCTTAAAGAAAAAATCCCGACATTGATAGACTAATGTTTTAGGTATACTGTTTCATGTGATCACGATACCGTTACACTTATCCTAGCCAGAGGTGGTTCAAAAGGTATACGACTAAAAAATCTACAGACAGTAGGTGGTTTAAGTCTCATAGCACGATCTATTTTAACGGCAAGAAAAGTGGGATTATCCAACATTACTGTATCTACCGATCACCCATTGATCGCTTTGGAAGCTTTGAAATGTTAGTTCTTGTTATCATTTGAATGTGTACCTACATATGACTTAGATTTTTATGTACTTTAATAAAACATTTTTAGATGGAGCTTCACCGTTCCGACGAAGTTGGATAACAGCTTCACATATTGCTCCGTCTATTTGGGGCGTACAGGAGTTTGTTGCGACCACGCTAAAAGCTAAAGTGGTAGTTTTGATTCAAGCAACATCTCCATTTATTTCGTACTTGAATCTTAAAGATGCAATTAGAAAACTGCATTATCCAAAACCTTATGATTGCGTTTTTGCAGCTACTAGGTGAAAGTATAAATTACTTTGAAATTATATAAGTGTATATGAGTATAAAGTTATAATAAAATGTATTTTAGAAGCTTTAAACTACGGTGGAATTTCATGAACGGAACCCTTAGTCCGACAAATTTTAACATCGTTAAAAGACCCCGAAGACAAGACTGGCAAGGGGAATTAATAGAAACTGGGGCATTTTACATATCACGAGTAGAATTAATAAAACAAGGAATTTTACAAAATAATAAGTAAGTAAACAATATTTTTTTTGTTAAACATTCAAAATAATTTAAGTGAACTTTTAGTTTCCGAACAGAACCACAAAGTTTTTGATTTCTGAACGTGACTTAACTTTTCCGCGCTGGCGGAATTTTATTTACGAAATATTTTAAAAGGTTTATTTTAATTACAAAAGTGAAATTGCAAATAAAAAACAAAGTTATTTTTCAGCTGCACGGTTTTAGAGACGAATGCTAAAGAAAGTTTGGAAATTGATTCTTTTTACGACTTGAAAGTTGCAAATGTTTTACTTAGTTCTAACTTAATTTTGACTTAGTTTAGATCAATTCGACAAAATAAACACTTTAAAATACCTACAAGTAAGTTCATACTTTATCTACTTAATTTTCATTTTAAAATTAATATTTGATGAGATAAATGCCCTAAAAGAATAATTTTATTATTAGCTTTGGATTTTATTTTCTTATGTTAACTTAACAAAAATCCTTTTATTGAAATATTGTCTTTTGCGAGTATCGCTACATTTTTCCTTTTAAGAATAAATTAATAAATAAATACAGGTACATACAATATCTCAGTCAACTAATTTGCTTACTCTCATTAGAATTTATAACTCAACTGATACATGAAAGCAAATTTTTCCATGACCAATACATAATCCGCATATTTTACGCATTATGTTTAAAGTTATTTAGAGTAAAGTTTTCAAAATATGAAAACATAAAAAAGCAGTAATTAGTTGTAGATATTTTTGTAGGTGTCCACCCACTTTTGCAACACATGCTTTCTTATCAGGCATACATAATATGTTATGTACATTTAACAATTTTCAGTTACAATTTAAAAAATATGACTAACACAGAAATAGTAACATATGAAGATCTTGAGGCAACTGATGTGATCAGCGTAGAATTAGTACCAGAACGTAAAGGATTAATACTAAAGCATTGTGAATATTACGTAAGCTCCAGAAGACACGGAACAACTGTGACCCGTAGATATAATGAGTTTGTTCAACTGTTTGATGTATTCTGTGCTAAATATCCATATCGGTAAGTATTTATTATTATGTTTGTAAGATAATTTTTATCATGTTAATTAATTGTACAGGATGTTCAAATATATGCATATAAACTATTTATTTAGTTTACTAGGTTCACCAAACAGCTTAAAACTAATACATAATTACAATTAAGAAATGAATTAATAAAACTAGGTTCATTAATACATTATTCTTATTTGAATTGAAAAGACAATATTGAAAAAATGCTGGTTATGATATACTTAAAGGTTTTTTTTTAAAAAAAAACCACATTTACTGAGTGTAAAATTTGAGTACTCAAAAGGGGAAATGAATAAATCTATAGGTATAAAACTTGAAGGGCCTGTCCCACACTGGCTGATAGAGGCTCAGATGGCTTACAAATAATGTCACTATCAAATAAGGAAACAAAATCAGATATTTCCATCACTTATTTTACATAATTGATATCAGACGATTTACAAATTGGTGGGACAGGCCCTAAAATAATAAAAAGGAAACCGGATAGTGTCAAGCTCGATGAAACAATCAGCTTGTTTTGTCATCCACTGGTATAAATAAACCTTTGCACATGTGATATTATCACTATCACTGAACTGACCTTGTTTAAGTTAATTGTTTGTTAATAATTTTTTTTATCCCTACATTGTCTGTGTTAATTAAAACTATAATAAACTTTTTAAAATACATAATTGCAGTCTTACCAGCCAGTAATATTTAATTTAGAACACTGGCCACTAAAAGATTTGTTTCTCTTACGTTATACTGGCCAGTATTATTTAATCTAAAATATTGGCCACTATTATTCACAAACAATAAAGGAAATAATCAATGTGAATAATGCTCCTGCATCCTCTTGTAAAGTTTGAGTAAGTCAGCCTTACTTAAGGAGTTTAAAAGCTACATGAGGCTCTAAATTCGCATTTGTCAGCCACTTATCTAAAGTCCAAGTCTTCTAATATGTGGGACATTAGTGTGTGAATCAATGAGTGTGCTGTAGCGCTGTGTGCCGTTTGCCGCCCAAACGCGTTGTGGTAGGCGGCGGCAGTACAGGCTT